TTTTTGCGTAAAAACCAAACCTTATGGGACAGATAACTACACAAAATCGAGTCGCATGAACGTGTTGACAGTCTTTTGGGGTGCGCTAATATGAGTAATCATTATGATGAGTTTATTTATCCCTGGTAAAGATAATCATGAGTACAGATTTATTTTCAAATGCAGTCTACCTTTCAGCATACATTACCAATTACTTATTGAAGTCATCACCTGTGCAATCAGGTAAAACAGTTACAGAAGAATTAGAATATGAACTTGCTTTCAATTCATTGATAAAGATTGTTAATGATGATATGTTCTTCCATAACATGGCCTTTCTCATATAGCACATCCTCAACATATACCGATCACTTTTACCCAAGAATGTCTCTGACAGTTGTACCCAACTTCCAGACTCCAGAACAAACTAATTAGTTATTATGGCACCTTACAATTCAGACACAGCGGGAACAAGGGATGTCAAATATAGAGTTTAGCTCTGAGCTCACTATAGGGGATGCCATATCTGCTGCAGGGAAATTGAAGTCTATGTTAAGACTTTCAGCATTACTCAAAGGTGTGTCTGCAGATATCAAGGATACAATAAAAGAAGATCAATTACTTCACTCTGCCATAAGCGCTCTTATGCGCGATATTGAAAACCTCGCTATTTCCTCTGAGGACTACTCTATTGTCAATAAAGCCTCGTTTGATGCTTCTATGGAAATGATTCCAGCATCGCGTCTAAAGTTCATTTGTTGGTTGATTGATGAAAAATCACACAAAGGCGCTTCTGAACTGTATGTTGTCCCTAAAGATAAAACTGGTAAATGCTTGGCTATTACAAAATCAATCGTTTCTGTAGCAAAATCAACATTCACCCCATTTGAGACTGGTCGTGCAGTTATATCATGAATATGGGAATATTAGTCACGAACATTGATAGAAAATTTGTATTCACACGGCTTTTGTGTTTCCTATACAGAGGTAAGACTATACACCTTATCGCTATTTGTCCGCCATTACTGGACATCACACAAGTTCCCGTAAAATCTTGACGTCATAATAGAAAATATCTGACGCCACAATGGAAAAGTGATTGTTGTATGACGTCAAAAGTTCGAGCGGGACTGATTCTCGGGTCAAGCGGGATTAGCGATAAGGTGTATACCTGACAAGCATTGCCATGCACGAGTTTGACCAATTCAAGACGGTATTGACGTTCCAGATGGCATTGTTTCAAAACACCGAGGGTGGTGTTTGATACAGGAAGGTGTCGACAGTATAGGCCGCAACACGGAGACAATTGATATTCTAATGCAATTATTTTGTATCAATGGTTCTGATTGGATGACAGTAAGCGTAAAATTCTCTATCTCCTTGTCTGTAACTAAGGAAGCCGATATTTTGAATTGCGGAATGTATTGACATGTAATTTCTACAATAGTAAGCAAAAAACTCACATGTTGCACCTAGAAATCTTTTTATCAAATTTTATTACATTCTGAAGCGATCAAGAAACCAGAAAACGCCTGACGCCGGAAGCATACCTATGACGTCACTTAGTTTAGGGTCCAAAGAAGATAACATCTTTTCGCGGATTTTTTTTTAATGAAAATTTTACACTGAAATAATGATTGAAATTGAATTATGTACTTGTTTTGCATTAGAATAGAGATAACTGTATTGTATTTGAAGCTTTGCGGACGTCCATCGGTAGTTTTACTGTCGGTCGCAAATACCCGTTTACCTGTCTCCGCTACGCGTCGCCAGGTAAACTAAATTTGCGACAGTAAAACTACCGATGGACGTCCGCAAAGCTTCAAATACAATACAGTTATCTCTTAAGTAAGGATAACGTTACATTTAATGGCACCAGCAGTTTAACAGGTTTGTCAAACCACAATTGATTAGAGTTTGCGTTATAGATGAAAGTGAAAAGAGGTCAAGATAGCACGTTTCAGTTGACTGAAGGAAAGGGAAGTGTGTTGTAATGCTTATACGCGTACTGAATCCGCAAACGATGACGAAGAGATTGACCCATATCCCTATTTAATGAAGACAAGAGCTATTGTATTTAGTTTTTTAAGACAAGTTATATAAGAGTCTTGACCATGTTGACCGATTTTAAAAAACAACATTTACAAATTGGCATTACATTGTATTTTCCCTCACAAATTGATGAGTCTACATTATGTTACCAGGATAATCCCACTAGGACAATGTTCATGCACCAAACTTAGTTTGTTTTACACTTAACCAACCTATAAATCAGGGAAAATCACATATATGATTTTTCTCTAACCTCGCATTCGCCTCGGTTGACTATGATATTTTTTGTGTTATAACTGATCTGTCCGGACTTTGCAAATACACAATATTTAGTTATCTATAAAATAAACAGCCTTTTTGATGCAAAATTAAAAATATTGTTTCATCGCTTGGATTTTGTTTTTTTCAAAGATAGAAAAAATATTGAAATATTTTGATAAACTGGTGGTTTACAGTTTAGAAAATAATTCTGTAATATACTGAAGCAAAAAATGATAAGCAATATGAAAGTAAATGGATATGAAAAGGTCAAGGCCACTTCTACTTTTGCTATGTCATAAATGGGAAAAATTCAGAAGGTTCAAGATCAAAACCATTTTGTAATAGCAGCTCTTCATATAAATAGTTAAATTTGTCGTTTTGACATCATTAGCAGCATATGATTGTGATTGAATCGTTTTTGTAGCATTTTAATTAATAAATATCAGAAAATTTATCCTGTTTTCCCTTGTGGTTGAAATATTGATATTTTAAGGCCTGACCTTTGACCCCAATTTCACAAAAATGTGACCATTCTGGGTTTTTACGACCAACCTTTTCTTATTGTACACGTTTTTCTCTTTCCATCGATATATAATTTAGGTGTGTGTTCTTCCGGAACATTAAAGTTTTAAAAAATGAACTCTGGTTGCAGTACTTATATGCCCGTGTCTGTAGTGACGTTTTGGATTTCAATGAACGTAATCTATGTATTACTGGTAAATTATTAAAGTCAGGGATGTCGTTACTACATATTTCTTAAAACCTACTGAGTTCTTCCATAGATACAAATATTTGGTTTGGAAGTTTGTTTGTACCTGTAGAAAACCTATTTCAAACGGGATAGCACATCCTAATTTTTACGGAGATTTTATTTACCGAGCCCGGAAATTTAGATATGATCCGGGTAAACTAATCGATCCTTTAAATAAACTTATTCTAAAAGGTTACCAATTCAACATTGTAATTAGATCTTTAAATATTGTTTTATTGGTATAAATATTGTTTTGTTACCAGTAAATTAAAACCAAACTAATAGTATTGTTATATTCACTTTCACGGTTCTACAATTTGCCGATACCTCTATTTTGGCATTGCACAAGGTCATGTTTTTCTCTGACTGTTAATGACGTCTTTACACTAAATCCATTGGATGTTTGATGAGTACTGATTGATACTTTAGTTTAGGTACATGATTTTTTTATCACTTGTTATTGGCTTTTAACTAGCTGTCAGTAACTGCGAGTACTCTCAGATCTCTACTTAGCGTCTTATTTGTTGTAATGATGTATAGATACCCTGCCACGTCCGGTTTGTGTTTTTGTTACTTGTTTTTCTGCTTTGCCTCGATCTGATGATTTAAGCCCTTTTCAACTAATTTTCATAGTTTGTTCTTATGTTGTTCTGTTACACCACTGTCCCAGGTTAGGCATGGGTCGGGCGCCCGCTAACATGTTTAACACCGCCACATTATGTATGTGCCTGTCTCAAGTCAGGAGCCTGTAATTCAGTGGTTGTCGTTTGTTGCTGTATATCATATTTATATTTTGTTCATGGTTTTTGACATAAATCAGACTGTCAGTTTTCTCAATTCAATTGTTTCACATTTTTCATGTCGGGGCGTTATGTAAATAGAGAATATCATATGGCTTTTTCAATATCACATCCGTATCAACCCGAGACACCAATATAATCCCAAGAGCTCTGCTCGAGGGATTATATTGGTTGAGGGTTGATACGGTGTGTGATATTGAAAAAGCCATATCATATACACTTTATTATATACATATACCTCACGTAGATGTTTTTTTATGTGACATGACGTCATACAGGTAAGGAGGTTTGAAATGACGTCATACAGATTATAGGTTTGACATGACGTCATACAGATTATGGGTTTGATAAAGCCTTTGCAACAGTGACTGTAATCGATGACGTGACGTCATACAGATTAAAGGTGTGATAAAGCCTTTGCAACCGTGCTGATATCGATATCATCACGGGTGGCTGATAAAGCACGCTTGCCAATGATTGTATTACACATACAATTTATCTGTATTTACTAAGTATATAATAAATGACTATATAAGTACGGTGACCTATAATTGCTATTATCTTCGATCTTAGAACTGTGGTGGATAGTTTTCTCATTGGTTATCATATCACATCTCCTTATAAAAATAAATAGTCTGTTCTCACATCAATATTGTTTCATCATGAATATTTACTGTATTGAATCCATTTCGAAACACTAACATGAAGATTGTTCACATCACGTTAAATTACTATATGGAATCGACATCGATAAACACATGTTTGGCTACAGGCGTCGACTTGTTGGATAGGTCCAACATGTTTACAGGAGTGTGGGTTGAATACAGTGGACGTGTATGATGTGAACCGTCTTTATTTTCGCACAGACATGTTAGATCTATCCCGATATAATTATACCGGTGTCCATGTAATTTATAAGATATGGCAAACAATAATACATACAAATGAACGGTGATTTTTATGAAATATACGTGTTACTTAATACATCATTATCAAACTGGTTTAATGCACTGGTTTCGTGCTTTGAAAAGTTTATTTTTGAAACGGAAATGTACTGATGTATAACATTTAAAGCCATAGAAATTTTGTTTATTCACTCGGTAAAAACCTGGACCACACTCCAAAAACCCGGACTGATCTAAAAAAAAACCCGGACATATGAAAATGAATTTATTTTAAACATGTCCTTCACAATGCATTAACAAGAATTTTTATAAAATATCTGTATATCTACGGATATATAGATTCCACATATGCATTTCCTTTGACATTTGCATTGGTATGTGTATATAAGTAGCTTTATTCTATATTTTGGAATAAAAGCATTGTAAAGCTATATCAAACTTTTATAACACAAAATAAGTAGGGTTGATAATATCTTTTTATCACAAATACTAACAACTAACATTGTATGATCTTGTAAAGTAAGTTTAAGCAACTATTTCACGTCTTACCAGAAAAGAAGTCTGATTGTTTACAATTTTTATCATATTCACTCGAAAATCCCGATCAAATTACTTTAATAAACACGATCCAAGCCAGACACTTTACCTACTGTAATATCGCAAGACCTGACATACTCCTAAATATGAGAACAAGTATAATAAAGTTTAAAAACGGAAGACATTCAATCATAACAGCAACTGTAAGATTATTTAAAAAACAAATAAACTGCATGATTACATCCTCATGCTACATTTTAATACTAGTAATCATTTATTTTGAGGTTCATCAATAACAACAATTTATAAGCTTAATGATTTCTTTTATAGCAAAAATGGACTTAAGTTTAAAGTCTAAGCATGGGCAATTTTACATACCACATTTCTAAGAGCAAAAAAAAATAAAAATTCTTGTTATCATCTCTCTTAAAAATCTATATCAAGTCTACTTATTGATTTATTAATTTTTTTCCTTAAAATTTTTTACAGTTAATTTCTTAACAAGGATTTAAATGGTTTATTTATGATGTTAAAAATATATATTCATATGAATTAAACTAGATGTGAGGGTTTAAATCACCAGTCATCAACGCGTGCTTAATTTGAAAGACTATGTACAAGAACGGGGATTGACTAGAGATAACAACACATGACCAATATATTAGTATGTTACAATTAAGTATATAGGATTAATGCATTGAACATTTTTTTAAAGTTTATATTGATCTTTTCGAAAACCCCAAAACCAGAAAACAATTCAGGTTATGTTCTACGTAAATGTAAATTTTCTCTTAAATCCGAGCACTATTAATTTGTAACTGTTTAGTATGTATTTTGACATTCATCTAGAAAATGGTGGCCAATGGATATGCCAATTGATAAATTTTCATTGAAATTCCAGCACAAAAAGACGTTTCACAAAATTTGTGATTGTTTAATATAAATTTAATTTTTACAGCAAATTTGACACCTGGAATCAAATTCGAATAGCATATCATACCTGTATATCAATTTTCTTTGCAATCCTAGAACAAAAAGATGTTTCTCAAAATTTGCAATTTTTTTTAACAAAACTTAAGTTTTTATGACAATATTTTTCCAATTTCAAAACCATTCTTGTCTCCGGGAATAATAATAGTTATTATATCTATTTTTCGATTCTCGTTGACATCCAAGCAAAAAAAGAAGTTACTTAACATTTGTGATTTTTTTTTACAATACATAAAAAAAAAGAGTTCCGCTGTCTCGCGTTGCACTTATTTTATCTGTCCAAGGGGAATAACAAAATCAAAACTTTTTTTTGTTATTTAAATTTTTTATAAACATCTTCAAAACGTTTATTGTTGAATTACTTTCTTATTGATTTTAATAATTTAAAACCTTGAATATGAATTCCTCATTACGAAATATATCTGCAGAAATTAAAATTACGTATACTAGTAATACATGTATAAAATACTTTAACTTGTTAGAAAGGCAGTTCATATTCAGCTTCCATGAACTTTTCGCCATGTCTTTTGACAATTGCTTCTACTATTGATGGATCAAATAATGTTGAAACGTCACCAAGTTCATTAGGTTTGTTGGCAGCAATTTTGCGTAAAATTCTTCTCATTATCTTTCCTGATCTGGTCTTTGGTAGTCCTGGTGAGAACTGAAATTTGTAAAATTTAAATGAAGAATGGAGTGAAGAGAGAAGTCATACGTTTTATTGAATTAAGGTAAAAGACTTAAATTGCTTGGGCTGAAAAAAGATCATGCATATTTATTTGCTAACAACATAAAAGTATGTAGCTTTACTGCAACTTTACTTAATTAAAAGCAAAAAACAAAACAAAACAAAAAAAAACAAGTGCTTGATGGTTATCAAATTTGACGAAAAAATACAGAATTTCATTTTTTACAGCCAAATTAACATAATCTGCGATTTTGTTGTAATAGTAAAACATTCACTTTATTAAACAATGTAAAAAGAAAAGGATGTCTGTTGGTAGCATATATTCATGGTGATAGAAACGAAAATCTTTAAATCTGTTTAACTGCCTATACTTGTTTGTCCTTTTTGGTTTATCAGCTCATCATTTTTTAGTAAGCTTTGGATCTTCAAATAGTTTGGCCTCGAGCATCACTGAAGAGACATGTATTGTCGAAATGCTCATCTGCTGCGGAAAAATTGGTAACGTCAATGTTATTGAGAAACATCCTGACAGTATAACAGAAATTATGATATTTTGTTTTAAATATCACATAAATATGGATACTAGAAAAAATGCTATCAATCATTCATTGGTATCTGTTGTGTATGTATTTAGAATTGTGTCTTATAATCCACTTATATGTTATATCTTATAAAGCATACGCTGAAAAATCCAAGCTGTTGTTCAGCCATTTTTTTGACGATATTTTTAATATTTGATTTTCAATGAATTATCTCCTAAAACATTTTAAGACAGCCATCATAACGTTCGATAAGTGATTGGGCCCAAAAATGTAAATTTTTGTTTAGACACAATTTTTTATTTTGTTTTTTAAAAGGGAGAAAAGATACTAAGGAGCAATCGAAATTCATATTTCCTATAAAACAAAAAGCAAACGTGCCTTTATCGGTCAGTTTGCTAATAATGACTTTTATATACAAATACTAATAACCCTCCCTTGCAATTTACATGTTTAACTTAGCTCCTATATTTTTTTTTTTTTAGATACAACCAAAACTACCAAAAACATTGAAAATACGGGGCATTAACTCAAAAACTGCTTGTAAATTTTTTAGAGTAGATAGATCTTGTCATGCTGATCATTTTTGAAGTTAACACTTTTAACCTAGATCCTATATTTTTTATCTTCAAAATAACAGAATAATTTGAAAAAAAAAGGGAAAATTTTTCAAAAATTTAAACTTAAAGGGCAAAACGAAAAAAATGGGTGACAGATTTTTCTGAAATTTTCAAAAATAATATATCTTGTACTAATCATTTTTGCAATAATTGAAGTTTACCCTTTTAACCTAGCTCCTAGATTTTAAGAAATGGCAAGGCAATGCCAAAAAACTTAAAAATCATCTTTTCAGGGACAATAGCTCTAAAACAGGTAGACAGATTTCTCCAAAATTTTCAGCGTAAATAAACTTGTTATGCTAACCTTTCTTACCCTGTCAGATTTTCAATAATTATAATAGTTTTAGAGATGTTAGCCAAAATCACTTCCAGCTCTCAACAGAAAGGTATTTTCGACAATCAAAATATTTGAATCACTGATGGAGAAAAATAAAGAGTTGTGCGAATAATTCTAAATCATATTCACAGGTATAGCGGTGAACAAAAAAAAGATACAACTCGAATGCATCAAGTTAAGAAAGATAATTTTTTTTTCAGTTGATAAAATGAGACTTATGTTTGGCAATGTCAGTTGGTCACTACATTTGCGTAACAAGTTCTTTTCAATTGCAATTCAATATTTCTATCAAATTATGTTCACAGTTTCATGTTTTTAAGATACAGAAGAAATTATCAAATAAATAATCATCGTAAAAAAAGGTACAACCTTGGACCAAAAGATAACGAGACTTAAAATTAAAATATTTGTCTCCATAAGCTGAATGGTTGTATGGTGGCATAGGGTTATTTTCATTTATAAATTGTTTTATTCTATTGCACAAAGATGGAGAATTTCTCAATAGCGATGCAAAAATCATTAAATATTTCAATTGTAGAAGGTACGGTGATTTAGCATCTTTTTTTAATAACATTTATTCAATTTAATGATTTTGTTATGGATGGAAAAGGGAATCTTCAAATGAAGATATAGAATATTTTGTTGTTGAAGCGACTAAATTATTTCCCAAAAGAGGCAATGAAATGGACTTTTTGGACAACAACAAAATGTTAGTTATCTAAATTTGGGTTCATTCTTCATTGGAAAAATACATTTCTTGTATTCAAATATACACTGTTATCTATTCTAACATCGGACTCGGACTTCCTTTAAACTCGGTTTTACTGTACGTTTTGTGGTATATTTTTTTATTCAACATTGGCTAGTGGTATAGGGGAGAGTTGAGGTCTCACAAAACATGTTTAACCCGCCGCATTTTTGCGCCTGTCCTAAGTCAAGATTCTATAGCTTTTGTTAGTCTGTTTTTGTGTGTTTTTTAATTTTGGTTCATTTGTATGTTTAGTAGTTTAGTGTGGCGTCCATTTCGCTGAACTAGTATACATTATTGTTTAGGGGCCAGCTGAAGCCCGCCTCCGGTGCGGGATTTTCTCGGTGCGTTGAAGACCCATTGGTGGCCTTGGTCTGTTTTCTGCTCTTTGGTCGGGTTGTTGTCTCTTTGACACATTCCCCCGTTACTATTCTCTATTCTACTAAATATTAGATCTTGTGCATTGTTTATTATATAAAATAGCAAATGAATTGATAATAAATAACAGCAAATAATTAAGATCTGATACTTGTGTTTGTATCAAAGGCTTCTTTTGGTACTGGTAAGTTATACATTATGATTATGATTTTTTAACCCGATATTAATGTTATATACATAAAAGAACAGAATTCCAATGTCCCCCGCGTTGCACATATTTCATATATCCAAGGATAATAAATAGATTATCTTTTATCTTTAAAACTTTTTTGATGAATTTCTTAAGAGAAATGTAGGCTTGGGAGCGCTTAATGCATTCCAACTTTCCATTAATAAAATGCTCTGCGGGGCGCAGCTTGATAAGACAGTAGAGGTCGAACCATGAACAGTTGGGGCAAGTATAGACACTACATTCAAGCTTGATCCATATCTGAATTTGGATTGTGATTAAATATTTGACACAGCATAGGTTTCTGACACAGAATGAATTTGGTCAAAGAACTGAAAAAAAATTGAAATTGGACTTTTACCTATAATGGTCCAATATCCAAAATCTAAATGCACGGTTAGATTCAGCATATCCACATACATCAAGAATTTAATTAATTTATTTATTAATGGACAAAATTAGCTAAGAATTTAAAGGGGTTCGCTTAATTTTGGTTAAATTTGGCCCAGTAGTTTCAGAGGAGAAGATTTTTATAAAAGTTAACGACGACGGACAACGACGGACGACGGACGCCAAGTGATGAGAAAAGCTCACTTGGCCCTTCGGCCCAGGTGAGCTAAAACGCAAGGAACACATGTTCATGTCAAAATGTTATTATATTAACCATGACATGACATGACATGAACCGTTGGGACAAGTATGGATACATTCAAGCTTGATACAGCTATATTTTTGGATTGTGATTAAATATTTGACCCAGCATAGGTTTCTGACACAGAATGAATGTAGTCAAAGAACTGAAAATTTTGAAATTGGACTTTTACCTATTATGGTCCAATATCCAAAATCTAAATACACGGATCGCTTCATCCAAATAAATATATATATATATATTTTTGTCATGCATCCGATTTCACCTTGAGAGATGCACACGCCTGATGAAGCTAGTTTGTCTAGCGAAATATTGCGTATTTCTATTTAAAATCTAATAGAACTTTTTAATGTATCAATTAGCGTGTTTAAGTTATATTCTTAGACATTTATATAATTTTAATTCAGTAACTGTATCAGTTTATTTTCACAAACTGATCCACGCCTAAATAGATTGGATGTTGATTGTTGCTATTTCTAGACATTATATATATATATATATATATATATTTATATATAATTTTTTGGTCTTTTGGAACATTTTGTTTGTGCTGTATTTAGACCCCTCTAACAAGAAATTTGTTTTGCATGCACACGTATAAAAATTGCGGTTTTTATCCAACGTAACCATAGGTTTGAACGTTGTTTTCAATTTAGACTTGTTTATAATATATAAACAGTCTAAATTGAAAACAACGTTCAAACCTATGATTGCGTTGGATAAAAACCGCAATTTTTATACGTGTGCATAAACAGTCTAAATTGAAAACAACATTCAAACCTATGATTGCGTTGGATAAAAACCGCAATTTTTATACGTGTGCATGCAAAAATTTCTTGTTAGAGGGGTCTAAATACAGCACAAACAACATTTTCCAAAAGACCAGAAAAAGTGAAAAAGTATATTTTAACAAAACGCATTTGACTAACAGGTCGAACAACAAATGTTCTTAAACCCTGCTGACTGCCATTGGCGATTGCCAAATAAACGGATCACCGATGTAATAAATGGATCTTAATTATAAATTTAATACTAAACAGAAAACAATAAACTTGCGGAAAAGATGGTATACCGCAAACAAAAGGTGCAAAGGTTTTTGTACACCATATCCGGATTTCGACAATTAATGTCTCTTCAGTGATGTTAGGAATCGAAACGGTATTTGGAAAGCCATACAATTTACCTCAATTTAGGATAGACTCTTGAATTTTGAGGAGTCAAAATAGGATGAACGGATCATATAAACCCGAAGGCAAATATAATACAAACCCAAACGAAAAAATACAAACAGTCTAAATTGAAAACAACGTTCAAACCTATGATTGCGTTGGATAAAAACCGCAATTATTATACGTGTGCATGCAAAACAAATGTCTTGTTAGAGGGGTCTAAATACAGCACAAACAACATTTTCCAAAAGACTAAAAAAAGTGTAAAAGTATATTTTAACAAAACGCATTTGACTAACAGGTC